AGACGAAGGAGGGGGAGGGACCTTCTAGCTTGTTATTAGCACTCTAAAACCTGGATATATCTTTCTGAGTAGCATTTGCACCCATCGAGGGAAGGCCTTGCATATTTCAGTAGGACAATGCTAAACCACATACTGCATCTTTGACAACCGAATGTTTAGTAGTAGAAGAGTGCTTAACTGCACTCCAGAACTTTCACCAATTAAAATAAAAAATATGACAAAGACGACCCAGGACTGTTGAGTAGTTAGAATCCTATTTCAGGCAAGAAAAGGACTACATTCTTCTCCCAAAACTCTAGCAACTGGTTTCCTCTATTCAGAGTGCTGTTAAAAAGGAGATGCTACACCATGGTAAACATGGCCCTGTCCCAACGTTTGTGGGATGTGTTGCGATCATCGGTTTCAAAATGACCTTATTTTTGTTGTTAAACTGGTACATTTTCTTAGATTAAACATTTGACGTTTTGTATTGTAATAACATCTGGGGTTATATTTGCAGATCATTGCATTTAAATTTTTATGTAGATTTTACACAGCGTCCCAACTTTTTTTGAAATTGGGGTTGTACCATTTCAATGCCCTTTTAGATAGGCCACATTTAATTAAGGATTGAACAGGCACACTGCATATGAAGCAAAGAAATCAGAAAGAGTTGCATAGATTTGAAATACATTTTTGAAGCCTTTATTCTATGGGCCATATTTTCTGAGGGAGAGAGGAAGCACATTGCACTTAGAATTGGGAAAAAATAAGTGTCATTTCAGGGGCCAAAGATGGAAAAAAGTTACAGGTTTGCACCCCACATATAAACCCTTTATGGTCAGGCTGCAGTTTCTGAGTGAGGAATGTGCTATAGTACATCTGGAATGAAAAAAGTAGGCTCTTTTTGTGTACAATTAAAAGTGTGAACATTAAACAGAATTATACCATATTTTTCAAGCCTTAATTGGAATAATTGTTTAAGGGAAAAGTAAGCAAATAGCATCTGGAAGCAAAAAAGTGGCTTCCTTTTTCACAGGTTGAAATAAAAATTGACAGATTGTTGCTGAGTTTGTAATCCTTTTTGAGCAGGATGCTTTTTTCTGAGGGGAGAGAGCAGGTTGATTGCAGCCTTTAAATAAGAAACAATTTTCTTTTTTTCAAGGATAAATTGAAGTGCTACATGTAAACAAGATTAGCACCGTAGTTTGTAAGACCTGTTCGGACAGACTGCTATGCCCTAAAACAAGCATATTGCATCTTCAAAAAAATATTTTTTCCCATGCAGATGGAAAAAAAAGTAAATTTTAAAAAAATGGAGCACAGCTTTTTCCTTGTTCCTTGTATTTATTGAATTTTACAAAGTATACAACAGCTAGGCACTTGGGTAACAGGATGAATAAAGTTACCAATAAACACTCTTGTTCACATATAAAGCTGGCCATAGACAGTTCGAACGTTGGCCAGTTCAGCAGGGAACAGCCGAGATTTGAACCATGTATGGGCAGGCTGAACAACCAGCCTGTTGGTTTTTCCATGTGATTATTGCCAGCAGCTATGTTCTTCCAGCAGGAGAGCGAGAAAATCGCTCTGTCTATGGCCGGTTTAAGACAGCATGGTAAAGTGGGATTACAAATTATTGTGGACCATCTATCCAAAGGTAGCAAACTCCATTATACAGTTGTGAACAGAGTTGAGAGTTTCCACTGAAACAAAAAACAATGTAGTCAATTGTATGGATGTAGTAAATTATCTTGTGTATCAAAGTGCTAACGAGATAAACCATCTAGCTGGGGAACCCAGGCTGTCATCTACAGAGTGAAGAAGGGGGGGGGGACAAAGCAGGAGGGAAATGTGATCCCGGGGGTCTACATGGAAGTAGTGCAGATAGAACATTGTAGCGTCAGGGGTATATAGACTGTTAGTTCGGAAGCAGAAGTGCAGCATCGAAATGTAGAGGAAGGTAAAGATGCAGCACAGTTTTTATACCCTTTTTAGAATGGCCGTAAGTGTTGAGGTAAAGAAAAAGGTAGATTTGTTAAAAAAAAAAAAAAAAAAAGTGTTCCATTTTTTTTTTTTTTTTATTGGAAATTTAAAACCGAGTGATTTCAAGTACACCTTTTAATGCCTTTTTGGATAAACCACTATTTCCAAGGGAGAGAGCAGGCAGATTTCAGAAATAAATATAAAATTAGACCGAATCTTTGCATACGCATAAATATTGTACAGATATGCTTAACAGAACCCCATACTTACTAACGGAAAAATTATTTTGAACTAGAGATTAGGTCTGTTTCAACCAGAAATATCTGAAACTGCATTGTTTCATGCACTGGTTTTTAAAAAACTGCATAGATTTGCAGAACAGAATCTCATCCTTTTTAATATGTGGCACATTTGAAAGCAGTGAGTCGGCTTATTTTAGCCAGAAATACGAACGACAAATGTATTTTCTAGAAAGACACTGTATTAAAATGGTATGGAATAGCTAAAAAGAAACTCATTCATTGAGGTGGGAAGTAATCTTGGTTTGCAGGGATTGGTCCTATTTCAGCATTTAAAAAATAATTGAACATTACAGTATATTTTCTAAACATCACATGTAATTTTGTATGAATTCACTTAAAATCTTCTATTCCTTGGGACACAATTTGGGAAGCAGAGTTGGTGTATTTCAGACAAATATTTAATAAAACTGTATTGTTTGCAAATGTTTGAAAAAAATAAATTTGATGAACTGAATCACATTACTTGGAATGTGATGGGGTTTTAGAGGTAGATAAATAAGTATAATTCCCCCATAAATATGAAGTGAAACTTTAGTTTTACAGCGGTACTGTATAAACACTGTACATATTTGAGACACTATCATAGTGTTTAATAGCACACAATCTGGGAGACAGGGAGTAGGCATCTATCAGGCAGAAATAGGAAATTAAAATGTAGTTCCTCATATATTACATACAAATTGAAAGGATTTGAGGCACAGAAGTACACCTGTTATAATCCAAGGACATTTCCGAAACAGGGAAAGGTCATATTTCAGCCAGAAATAAGCAATGAAGCAGTTATTTTTTTGAAGACATTGTATGATAATGGTACTGATGTTCTGCACCAAATCTTATGTAATTGTAGAAATAGCATACAGGCATATTAGAATGTCATACAGCCATTGCAAGAAAATTACAGTGATATGTTTTTAGAGAGATTAAAAATTGTGAAGAATCCATGTGCAAAATATCATCCCTTTAAATAGAATTACATTATGGAAGTAATGAGAAGTCATATTTTAGCCCAAAATAATTGTAATGTTATTCTATTGGATACATAACTTATAAATTATACAGATCAGTTGTGCAAAATCTAATCATTTTTCCTTAGGAGGCAATTTGGAGAGAGCAGACAGACTCCATCTTAACTTAAAGTGACTGTAAAGCTTCCCTTTTTTCATTAAAATATGAAACATATCTTACCTGCTGTGTGCAATTGTTTTGCACAGAGCAGCCCCAATTCTCCTTTTCTCAAGTCCCTCACTGGCACTCCTGGCTCTGCCCTCCTGTTGATTGCCCACCATAGCAAGCTGCTTGCTATGGGGGCAATCGGGTGTGTGCTCGCTCCCAAGCCAGGCAGTTTGTGTCTATTCAGACACACAGCCTGGCTCAGCCCTGCTCTCAGCTCACAAGTGTTGACTAACAGCAGGAGCCAATAGCAAGACTGGGCTATCTGGGGGGGAGCTGCAGGTAAAAGGTTTAACCACTTGCTGCCAAATAAAGTACATGAGCTATGACTATACTTCATTCATTCAATCTTGTATTGTAGAATAATAATACATTTCTTAACTATTTGAATTTTAATCTATTTACTGTGTTTTTGCCATGTTTAATTCTGTGGATTTTGCTAATTCAGGTTTATTTTTCATCTGCAGTTTTATGATTACTGGTTTGCTGTTTTGCAGAGCTTGAAATTAATCACAGCAAAGAATCCTTTCTGCTTGTACTGCAAGATTGTCTGACCAATGTATATGTATTATTTCTTGTCCTGATGACTATGTCAGTGTTTGGCAGGCAGGTGGCAGGCTTGATTCACTTTACACATTTCCCTCTGTTAATGTACTGTATACAGTATTGGGAACATTATGACGTTCTTTATGTAAGAACACGGAGATCTGTACAAGAAACAATTCAGAATAGTATAACGTGTACTCATAGTTCGATTTACAGGACAAGCTTAAGGCAGATTAGGGTGACCAGCGATCCGTAAATTTATGGACAGTTTGAAAAAAATTGGCCCATTTACAAGCCGTCCATAAATATCCATTATAAAGGGCGGTTACCCATAAAAAATGGCTTTTGGATGACCTTGGAACTGTCCGTGCGCAGTTTCGAAGCCTAATGAAAGTCATTGCACAATCTTTGGTGCACGTGTACTTTGGGGCTGCAAGTCAGGTCTACATCTGTGCTGTGGGCATTTCATGACGTCATGGCGTTGGGCATGCCTAAAACCGACACGCCATTTCCTGCAAGCCATCATTTGCATTGCGGGAGCCAGAAGGGAAGTAGGTCCTGTCATGCTCTGCTCTCAGCAGATGGTGCCTTCCTGCCTATCACTGTGCCTGCCTTCCACGTGCTCATGCCCAGGCCCAGCTGCCACACCAGACACCACTGTGCCCAATTAATCTGGTTCAGAATCGGTATGTATATGGATGGATTTGGATAGACAAACAGCATTAATGAATTAATTATAAACAGTGTTGGTCACCATGAATATAAACCAAATGCCCCAATGTTCAATAAAAATGTTACTTTTTCAAGTTGAATCTATACACCCTAATAGAATCTTCATATAGTCCACCAGTCTTAGTGCTCCATCACTTCTCTTTGTTCATCAAACCAATACGTCCTCTTCTATTCTTAGTACCTCGAAGCAACTAAACTAAACATAGTGCATTATCCTTAAATTAAATTATATTGGTGTGCAGGGGTGGACTGACAATTCATGGGGCCCCCGGGCAATAGGGGATCATGGGGCCCCTGTGTCCTTGCCCAAACTCAAAAAGCCTATGAAAAAGGTACCAGGGACATCTCATGGGGCCCCCTACTGACCCTGGGCTCTCAATAGGGGCTCATGGGGCCCCTGTGTCCTTGCCCAAATGCAAAAAAGCCTATGAAAAATGTACCAGGGGCATCTCATGGGGCCCCCTACTGACCCCGGGCCCTAGGGCAGTGCCCCAGTTTCCAAATGGTCAGTCTGCCCCTGTTGGTGCATGTACATCAAAATCAATGTCACAGTGATCACCTGTACATCCGGTCATAAAATTCCTACCCTTGCCCAAAATAAGTGAAAAATTGCTTGTGTGTTCCACGCTTCTCTATACACTGTAAATATATGCCACGCCACACTTCAGCTAGTGATCATACAGTGCAATCAATCGTGTGCCACCTGTCAATCTATACACCTTACCAAATCAACAGGTAGTGCAGGCTAGATAAAACCAACAAAATATCGTGCTCCAGGATCCTGATGGCTGCACTGATGGTGGCTTTGTGACAGGTATCAGGACAATTAGTGGTGTGTACAGCAATGCAGAGGGTTAAATCAGTAACTCACTGTTCCCGTCTCTCCTTCCCTGTCTTTGTTTTTCAGGGATCAGCTGTGACTTGACACGGCAATCACATGGTAGAGAGCCACTGTCATTGGCTCTTTAGCCCGATTGGTAATGCAATGTGTCCAGGATCCCCACTGATCGCCTCATTGTGTACCCCCTGGGGGAGCATGCGAGTGGCAGGTCTGGGAGGACATCATCTGTCCACCAAGGATAGCAGCTGTCCCACTCCACTGTCATTTTACTAATGGCTGGACAGGAATGGGTTAAGTACATAATCTATTGTGCTTGGTGGTGTTCCGTGCTAAAACATCATCAACAATTTATGAAGAGCATTGATTTGCTGTGTGACCTGAATCCTCTCCGGGTATGAACACAGTGAGGAAGATTTACTAAAACTGGAGCACTCAGAATCTGGTGCAGCTGTGCATGCGAGCCAATCAGCTTCTAACTTCACACTGTTCAATTAAACTTTGACAATAGAACCTGGAAGCTGATTGGTTTCTATGCAGAGCTGCATCAGAGTTTGCACTCTCCAGTTTTGGTAAATAACCCCTAATGAGACGTTTGCAGACTGCATTATCTGACCCAGATGTACAGAGGCACTAATATTTCAGATATCACTCCCCTTGGATCCCAAGTACTGCATGCTTAGTATGCTGGATGATCTAGATTCAGAGAAATGCACAAAGGAGGCTATAGAAAGGGCCTTGTTCTGAGCCCACAAACTAATACGGCCTTGGAACAAGGAAGTCTGAAGATCCACCCACTTCTGTGACTTGTCCAACATGGCTGAATGAACTCATTTTGTCTTTGCAGCTTGAGTTGAAGTTTCAAGCTATTTTTTGTGTGTCAGATATCCATCAATCTATGGTCACCTGGTTTGGCTTGCAGGCAGGTACCGGGCTGCAGTTTGTCTGCTGACCTGAAGGTGGCACTGGGCCACTTCAGTCAGGCAGGAAACCATTGGGGACTAAATTGTCCCCATTATGGGCCACAGGCAGCCATCTTGGGGAGGCTGACACTTCCTATAGGATGCCGAAATTCCATAGAATTTGGGGTAGTCACCTTGAGACAGATGTGTAAATAGCATTTTTCTGCATCATTTGGGGTGTCTGCTGCATGGGAGTAGGTCAGGGACAGAGCCTTGCATGTTATGGAGAGAGTGGGAGCAGTGTTGGGGAGAGGAACCTGACGAGGGGAGAAAGAGAGGGTTTCCTCATACAAGGTGTCTCTTCTTTAGTTTCTTGGAACTGTCTCTACCAGCAGCTGGATAAACTCTAAGGACTTTGGGGATCTCAGGGCAACCCATAGTCTGGATACCTCCCCCGAGGTAAGTGCTCTTCAGACATTCTTCGGTCTATAAGCTCATATTATATTAGAAATGTGTCTTGTTGGCAGAAGCGTGTAACCTGCTGTGGTACCATTTTTGTAAACGTGATTTTTACAATATAAAGTAAAATTTTATGTGGTTGTAAACCCTTACATATACCCAGTGAAGTGACTGGTAATACACAGAGATGAAACAAATCCTCCTACATAAATTGTACCTGTCTGTCTGCAGTCTTCTCTTCTCTATTGCCAAGTCCAGAATTTATACAGCTTGTCTGAGCTGTCAGAAAAAAGGGGGCGGAAATCTGAAATGACACTGCACAGCTCAGTGAGGTGATCTGAGAGCTGATTGGAGGAAAAAGACACACCCCCTTCTGCACAGCTCACAGAAACACAGCCGAGGCAGTCAATCTGCTGGAGGTCCCTCCCCTGCCACCTTTTTTTTGTCTGGGTGTCAGGAAAACTTGTCAGATGACTCATGCTGATAGCAGAGGAATGAGGCAGCAGACAGAAATGACACTTGGTACTCTTAACTAAGACACGTACACACTTTACAGGGATATGCTTTATTCATATTTCATGCCTGAAATTTACAACCACTTTAAGTACCAATGAATGTTGAACCCTCACATTTTTCGGGTCTGCTGGTTAAGCCCCACCCACCGGCTGTTTACGGTTGGATTGGGGAATGTTGGTGGGTCTGAAGATATTACACAGTAGTATACTGTAATAAATTCCGATGACCTTCAGATTCGAACAAAGGAGATGAAGACCATTATTATTTTTTATAAATGGTCTGTATGTCCATAAAATCAATGTTATGAATGTAGGCAGGGTCAAGAGACTTTATTGTGATACTGACGCAAAGTAAAAACAACTCGCTTGACAACTCAGCATGGTGTAATGTATTTGTATGTACATAAAGGTGTTCTAGAAGCAATGGGGAGCTGCTGCAGGGGTCCCCCGGGCCTCTACACATAAAATATGTTGGGATGGTGACTCTAACGGTGGGCACTCCCCAATCAGTGCCGATCCTGCAGTCAGTGACAATCCTAGGGGTGTTATATAGCTACCTGCTCCCCATTCAGACAATCACAAGGCATGCCATAGGGATGTTTTTCAGCACTGACTTCCTCTGTGGCTTTTAACTGTCATGTGGCCAAATGCCAAGTGCTGCAAAGGAAGAAAGAAAAGCTGTGAAATGTGTATTGTGCTCATTTGTTATCCCTTCCCATCAGCCATACTTATATATGTTGCAGCAGGGAGATGCTGCCACACATATACGATCCCCACCGGCCCTGTGACTCCACCATCACCAACAGCTCCCATTCATACAATGATGATCAGGAGCTGGTTGGACGGGCTCCTGATCAGGTGATCAATCACAGAAACACGTCTGGCATTTACAGTTCTTAAAGGGAGAGGGGGAAAGAGATGAGGAAATTGTATAGCTGAAGTGCTTATTGTATCATTCCGTCACATCATCACAAATACAATTGGTCATTTCAGTTTATTCTGATTCCAAAAGTTTCTAAAACTGCATATTTACTATGGCGTTTTGCGTCCGTACACATTGCAGATCCACTTCCAAGCAGTAGATTGTACAATGAGTTTGTATGGTACAAGAGCACTAGGGACTGGTATCTGGTTCTGGTCCGTGGACTTTGTATTGCATGGTGAGTAATGGCTACATATGGAAAGGTCATGTGATCACTGCAGCGTCAGTTTGTAAAGTGTTTTCTTTCTCACTTCTAATTAAAGCTTGTAAAGTCCCCCCTGAATTGCAGGAAAGCATTTTACACCTCGGCCATGATATAAATCTTTCCATACCTTGATAAACCCTCACCGGGCGGCGGTTGGAGGTGTTTCTGCTGTACACAGACTGGGAACCTTAATGGTGCCATTCCAAGTCTGCAGTAAACTTTCCAAATTAGCTCCAAATGGTGTTTGATTTGTGCAGAATGTAAGCAAACATGGCCGTCTGCCAGCGACGCTAATGAACAAACGCTTGTTTTGTTTGTTTTACACGTAACCATTCTGTCATTGAGTAGTTTGACGAAGGATTAAATAGACTCTGCAGTTTGTCTGTTGAGCTCCCAGTCTCATTAATTCACTCGCTCAGTGCTAATGTAGCGGTAAAATAATCCCCTACGGAATTCAACAGCCAAATTAGGGGTGTGACACTGCAGCCCAAAATTTTAATTGTCTTGGGACAACCCCAGCCAAGAATTCAGGTCCAGTTCTCAATACTGGATAATGTATAATGGAAAACAGTGACATACATATATATTCTACTGAGTTGTAGTAAAATGATTAAACGCCTCATTCTCCCAACTTAATGCAGTTGTAAACCCGATCACTAAAATCTCATTGAAGCTTTAACCTGTAGAAAAAAATTCAAGTTACTTTTATAAATATTTGTAGCCACATGACTCCCAGGCCAGTTTTGACCCTTCCCACATATATGTATAAATCTACATTAAAAAAAACATTCATTAGAACACCCATACTTTATATATTTTTAAGCAGAGACCCTAGAGAATAAAATGGTGGGTGTTCCAATTATTTTATGTTACTCGGTATTTGCGCAGAGGTTTTTCAAACACAATTTTTGGGTAAAAATTACACTTTAATGAATTTTCATGCACACAAACACAATATAATATCCAATTTTTTGGTAGAATATAAAAGATGTTACACTGAGTAAATAGATACCAAACATGTCATGGTTTAAAATTGTGTATGCCCATGGAACACATGGGAGGATCTAGGGGGGCTTGGGTGTGCTATGCCCCCCAGATTTAAGTTGTTCCCCCCTCCATGCCAACCCCCCATCCTCCTCTCTCCCAACACTCTGCCTGCCCCCTGAACCACACTGCAGACAGCTGCACTTTCCTTCTCTTTGCAGCTTTGTAAATGTACAAGTAAATTCACTGCCCAGCTAAATCAATGATCAGATCAGCAAGGGGACCAGTGGGGTGGGGAAGCCTGCCTGTACCACTTCCCTGTCCTCCCCTGGAGGAGGAACTCTGCTGCCTATGCCCAGGCTGTGTGCAGTGCAGGGATGGGAGACAGAGGTCTCATGAGTGCCCTACCAGCAGTGACCCCTGTCCTCTGCCCTGCCAGCAGCAGTAAGTGGCCCCTGTCCTCTGCCCTGCCAGCAGTGATCCCTGTCCTCTG